CCTAAAAACTAACAAGAGGGCTTTTATAAAGGGATTATTTTACTACCTCTACTTTTTACATACTTCAGGCTTTATCCTTGAATACACAGCAATATTAACTAATATGCACATATGTAACAATGGTTAGATCATTTTAATTTCTCTAAAGACTCATGGGCACAGAACCCTTTTTTCTGTACTTCCTTCCCTCCCTCTTCCCATGTGAACAGTCAACATACTCTCCAAGACATCAAATTTAACAATTCCATTCCTCAAATACCACCATTCCTATAAATTAACAGAAAAAATACTTAAAGGGTGTTACTTTAACTCTTTTAACATATGTTGTGCACTTTCAAACATCTAGAAAGACTAGCCATCTCAAATAAGGATTTGTTTGATTAAACTGCACATAGAGGCTATGATCTGAAAGTGTCTTCTGAATAGGAAGGAACTTTCTGGCTTAAAACCCTTCCCCTTTTCATCTCTATCAACACAGTGGACAGCACAGTAAGCATCTGTAATGCTTAGAAAGGATTTTAACAATTTTACTTCTCATGTTTTCGGAACAGTTCTTCTTAGGAATCTAACACAAATTGTACAGCATGTATTTGTTTACTAACTATTTCTGTCATACACTGGCAACCTCTGTATCATCTAGAAAGGCTAGATGATGTAAATTAGAACAGTTTGTCCTTCACATACAATATATGCACAACTAAGTAAAACACAATGCACAGGCACAAGGGAAGATGGTTAATCTTGCCTAACTATAAACATACTGGTATAAAGCCCTTTGCACTTTCTTCTCCTTCCTCCCTGAACCAGTACAAATATAATAATGTGTACTGCTCAGAGAGGTAGTTTGATCATCCCATTTCCAAAACATAGTATTTGAAATGAATTTTAACAAAAGGATATATACAAAATGTGTCATTTTACTACCTCTACTTTTAACATACTTTGTGCACTTCTAAACATCTAGAAAGACTAGATGTTTCAAATAAGGACTTAAGTTTGTCCACTATATACACAGTAGTGTTGAATAAACTACACACATGTAACAATGGTTATATCTGAAAGTGTCTTCCTTATAGGAACA